GGAATAGTTCATAGTGTGTGTGCTGCCATCTTTCTTATCACTTCTTTCACATGCTCTTGTAGGTTGTACCAGCCTTGAAGCAGTCAGTCGCAAAGCAGATGATAAAGGTCTGTGTTAGAAAATCTTGAGGATTTCTGCTTGTTGAGTCTGTGCCTTGGTGTGAAAGTGGCTGATGCTGAGGCTGGTTAGCTCAGCCAGCACTGAGGCGTTACTGCCAATATTCTTCCCACTCTTCCAAAAGCTCTGTCTTATTTTAAACTGAAACAGATAGGTCAGAGTTTACCTTCACCTGGATTAAGAAGTAAATCATCGTTCATTAGAAATTAGTTGAGTTTTACCAGAAAAGCTTTAAGAGTTTCTAGCTAACTGGTCTTTAAGAAACGTTGCTAACCCAGAGTAAAGTAGGAGAATAGCTTTGTTCTTTTTCTGATTTTGTGAGACTACCAGGCTTAGAATAAGTAACGGCAGGAGCCGTGCTCTAAGCCCTCCTGCTTGTAGCTTACTGAAGAGGAGTGGGGATCTGATGATTGGTCTCCAGGTCCGGACTCAGAAGTGAGGTCTCACTCCAGACTAAATAAAGGAACTCCGCATGGACTGGTAATAACAACACTAAGTCTAACGATTCCAGGGTGTGCCAGAGTAACAGGCCTGGGGAGTGGAAAGTGTGCAAACCACAGGTCTCTGAGGAGAATACTGCCACCTTGTGTGTATGTGATGTTATTCTCTGAGTACCCTTTTTTGGTGGTGTTGCAACAAGTAATTGTTCCTTTTCATAATTGACTACTTGGTTCTACAAGTTTGTAAACATGTTTTAATCGGGTAAAATCAAGCCAACCGTTTCCTTTTTGGTAGTAGGAAGAGTTTTGGGTTTTGACTCAGGCTCAGCGTGAGGAATGTGAATGCCTGGGACACAATACTGACTACCTCTGGTTTAGCTGTGAACAACTTCCTTTATTAGACCATTTGGGAAAGCTGAGGATTTTGTATTCTTGATTGCAGTTTTCCTGGTGCCTTGGGATTATTATTCTCGACGACAGACTTTACTATGTGATGGGGAGGGCCTCAGGCTTACTGATTCAGCCACAGTCCTTGATGCTTAAATATTTCCTTCAGGCCCAGTGCAGAATGACCACAGTAAGCTTAGAATAGTGTCTTGGAGAAAATGTTAAAAGTGCTGAGAAGAGGGCTCTTTAAACTACCTTGGTTACCCAAGAGTGTAACTCAGCTAGTTAAAGCTTCTTTATCTGGAAAAGGTGGGACAGGGCAGTCAGTTTCTAAGGATCTTTTTTGAGCATTTGGATTTTTAACATGTGAAGCTTTAATCACTTACAAATGTTAAAGCTGTAATACATGTCAAGGTACTTGGAGTCTTTTTTTATAGGACGGTAATTAGGATCAGTCACTTAGTAAGAGTCTGCTCTGGTCGCGGTTTGCAGGTCTCCTTCAGTGACTGATGCCTGTTGTTTTGGGCCAGTGGTCAAGAAGTACATCACACTAAGCAGCTTGTGGCAGAGACAGAGGTTACTCTAGACACACCTACTGGACCCCACCGTCTAAGGGCTTTGCCATTTTTATAGCACCACGCCTTGGGAATCCAGCCTTTAATGCAAGGGCTTGTGGAGAATGTTTCAGATCCTTTTTTTTTTTTTTTTTTAAGCTTTTGCAATAAAGAATTTCCTTATTGTGATAAAGAGAAAGGAAGCATTGTTAGCCTACATTCAAAAACTTGCAGATTCTTTAGAATAGTTCCTCATCTGAAATGTAAGGCCAGATAGTCTTTTAAAAAAAAAATTATTTATTTGTTTATTTTATGTATACGAGTGCTCTTCTGCACGTTCACAGCATGCCAGAAGAGGGCACCAGATCTCATTATAGATGATTGTGAGCTACCATGTGTTGCTGGGAGTTGAATTTAGGACTTCTGGAAGAGCAGCCAGTGCTCTTAACTGCTGAGCCATCTCTCCAGCCCAGGGCCAAATATTTCTTGGCATTCAAATCTCCTCATTTTAGAGTACAGTACTACGGCTTCTACCTTATTCCTTTGAGACAGGGGCTCTCACTACCCCTGCAGCTAGGCTGGCAGTTAACTAAACGGCCCCAGTAGTCTGTCTCCCTCGTCTGCCCAGGGCTGGGTTACAGGAGGGTGGCCCCACTGCCTTTGATGTGCTTACAGTTTCGCATGCATGTGCATCAGTGTTCTTAGGTGCTGAGCACATCTCTAGTCCAAGCCGTGAAGTTTTCTCTATAAAGGTGCGTCCGGAAGTCTATCTAAACCATCTTAATGTAGGGGCATTGTGGGATTAGGAGGAAATACTAAGCCAGGTGAGGCCCACACCTTTAATCCTAGCACAGCAGCCTAAGCTACATAGTGAGACTCTACCTCAAAAAGCCAAAATAACAATAAAATCATGACTTTCTATCAATAAAATAGTCTCTACTTAAAAACAAACTGCTCAAGAGCATCAACCCAAAGATTAGATCTATAACCGGATTACAGTAGTGTCTAATTTTTTTTTTTTTCTATTTTGAGTCAGGGTCTGTATACAGCCCTCACTGTCCTGGAACCTGCTCTGTAGACCAGGATGGCCTCAAACTAGCCTTGAACTTGGGCTCTTATTGCCTCTCTACTTCCCTAGTTTTAGGAAACTATGATTTCCAATGAAAACATTGTGTTTTCTTTGTCTCAACCTTATATGTAGGACTCGAGTACATATTTGGTTGCTTGTAGCTCACTTACTGTGTTATATTCATGTTGCTCTTGTTTGGAAAGCCTTTGGTCTAAGACAGTAATTGCTATAAAAACTTACTTCTCAATTTTTGTTTTCTTCTTCTTGAGAATTATGGAAAATTTGAGGAGTGCTTTCTAGCGAGAATATCTTTGTTTATTTTGAATTATTGTTTTATAATTTAAAAAGAGGAGGATTCTCTAGCTGGGCACAGTGGCAAGCTTATTTTGAATTAAAAGGCATGTAGCCTTTCTGGATAGAAAACAGTTTTTATTTAGTTATTTTTCATTGCAACCAGCAGAGCTGAAACACTTGCCCCTAATTTATTTCAGTAACTAAGCTCACCTGGGCACCCTGTAACACTGAAACTAACACCATACTTAAGTGTGGTTCTGCACATGCCCAGGCCAGGGCACTTGTTAACGAGCGTGTTACTGATTGTGATGAAAGTGGTCTTTGAAATTGTGATGTCCAGCATTGGAGATGAAAAATGAGACAAAGCTGCTACGGACATGCTGGGTGAAGCTCGGTAGCTGCGCTGAGGCCGTGGTGTAGGCGGCTTACAGAGGAGCATGGCTTTCTGTGTGTGTGTTGGTGCTGCGGCTCCTCACGCCATCTTCAGTTTCTGCTTGCTGTTCGTCCCGGGCCTGGTTACTTCCTGCTCCTGCTCCTTTCCCTCTTGAGGCCTTCACTAAGTTGGAATGTGTTCTGAAGTTTGGATGTCAGCGGAGACATCTAAGCCTCTCCCACAACTGCCTTTGCTCTGTCCCAGAACTTCTGATCAGGCTGTTTTCATTTCCTCCTTGGTGGCTCCAGTTACCACAGAGCACATTGCTCAGTCTCCATGTGTTGTAGGGTATCTGTGTTTTCTCTTGCTATACTATATCTAATAAGGTATAAAAGATGCTTCTCTTTTTAATTTATTAAGACTTGATACATGGCCTAAAATGCAGCACTTATATTTTAAATCTGCTCTATGAATGTGTCTGTCAGTAGTCAAACTACGTTTAAAAAATTTTTTTTTTAAAAAATTGATTTTTTGTGAATTTCATATCATGTACCCATCAAACTAACTTATAATTGGTCTGTTTCATTACAACAGAAAAATTAAAAATTCTAATGTTTTTCGAATACATGTAAAAATCAGCTTTCTGGTCATTGTTTTAACTGCCATCTTATGGTTTATTTATATTATTAGGGACCAGATCCAGAATTTTGAACATGCCAGGCTATATCCTACCCTTTAAACTCAGTTTATAAGGTGAAACATTTTTTCTAAGCATACTCCTCCTCATCTGTCTTTGAATGCGTTCAATTTGCTGATTGCAGCTCACTGTGAAACATGTGCTGCTCAGTGCAGTGGTTTTATAATAGCTAATATGTAAGCGTTTTAATAGATTTTCATTTTTATCTCAACTAGTAAAATGGACATAAGGTCTTTTAAATGATTGTAAAAATTAAAAGCCAATGATACATTTTTGGTTTTGAAATGTTTAGCAAAAGTCTTTTTTAAAAAGAGTTCAAAATTATTTTTAGTGAGAGAGAGAGGAGATATGAGCTGTGAAAGACAAATTCAACATGAAAAGACTGAAACAAGAGGAAATAAGATAAGTTTTTTTCTTAATATCTTTTACATTACGCCAGCAGTGTTGATCCCATGAATACTTATTGTGAGCCTAGTTAAGTAAATTTTTTTGGATGTTTTTGAAAGAATACTAAGAATAAGACAAAAGCCTGAGCTGTGAAGTTGGAATATAAAAGTCTGTGATAGCTGGTATGGTGGTGCACATTTGTAATCCCAGCACTTGGGGAGACAGAGGCAGGCAGACTTCTGTGAGTTCGAGGCCAGCCTGGCTTACAAAGTGAGTCCAGGACAGCCAAAGCTACACAGAGAAACCCTGTCTTGGAAATCAACAACAAAAAGTTTGTGATAAGTGATTCGATCTTGGTGTTTGTCTTAGTTGTTTTTCATATTTTCTAAGTATTAAAGTATGGAGATGATTGTAATTGCTGATAGTATGATATTATGTGGAAACTCATAAAATGAAATTTAATCATATACATATGTATACGCACATATATATATGTGTGTGTGAGAGTGCAAGAGTGTGCGCATGTCTGCGAGCATTATCTGCAGGCATGCGATATGTACACTGGCTCTAGAGGTGTTCTCCACGTTGTTGTGAGCCACCCCATGTGGCACACACTTAGCCTTAGCACCGGGATAGGTCTTTTATGTACATATACATGTATATATTATTTTTTCCTCACTAGGCAAGAACTTATGAAATGGAATGGATGGGGCTATAATGATTCCAAGTTCTTCTTCAATAAGAAGGGCCAGGTTGAGCTGACTGGGAAAAGGTAATCCTAAATTTTAAGCTCACTTTATTCCTTCTTTTCCTTTTCTTATATTTTTTAGACATAAAAAAGGGCATGAGAATATGATGTCCCGTCCTCTAAGCAAAAAGTTGTCAGTCTTGTATTATAATTCCATTTTATCCTGTAATATTTTAAATTCTGATGTCATCATAATACCTGTACTTTTAAAAATTTAAACATAAGCCCTTATAGTCATTCATATATTGATTAAGTAACATTATCATACTTCTAAAAGGGCAAGTTTGTTGTAATGTCTAATTATTTAGTTTGTATTCCCATTGCCCCTGTTGTCTTACAAATGACTTCTGTAGGGAGGTTTCTGAATCAGCCTCTAAAGAGTCACCCCACACTACCCTTGGTCCTCCATGCTTTTGATTGATTGGAAGTCTCGTAACTTACACCTGGTTTTGGGTTATGATGAAAGGCAACACTTTAAGGTTGTCAGGAGAGCATTAATTACAAGCAAAGGAGACATGATGATGTTAGTGACTTTCTCTAGGGCAGTGGTTCTCAGCCTTCCTGATGCTGACCCTCTTAATATAATACTCTAATAGGGTCGTGTATTCTAATACAATAATATAGTTGTGGGGACCATAAAGTAAGCTTTGTTGCTGCTTCATAACTATAATTTTGCTACGTCATGAATTGTTATGTAAATATCTCATATACAGAATATCTGATATGTGACCATGTGAAAGGCTCATTTGACTCCCAGAGGGGTTGAGACCCACAGGTTGAGAACTGCTGGTCTAGGTAGTCCTAGAAACAGAATTTACCTGCTAGGCAACTCTCCAGCATGGGTTCGTTAAGGCCTCTTTCCCTGTATCGTTGAATTCTGCTGCAAAGGCGTGAGAGAAAGGAAGCGTAAAGGTGAGCTCTGTAAGCTCTTGAAGGTGGGCGGAGAGAAGGCAGGTCAGTTCTCCCCTGTCTCTAAAATGTGTACAAGAGCAAGACTTCAGGCATGGAAATAGGATCTGGGTGCTCTGCAGTTAAATGCGTAGTATGCAAGCACTTTAGTCACTGAAACTTTTAGGGACTGCTTGATCATTCCTACAAGCAGAATGGAGGCTTCACACTTAGATAAAGGTACCTCTCTCTAGCATTCTTTATCTCCTTTGTATCTTAGGTACCCTCTTAGTGGCTTGGCTTTACCAACTTTGAAAGACTGGATCCAGAACACCCTTGGAGTAAGTCTGGAGCATAAATCTACCTCTAAAGTAAGCAAACAGTAGTTACAATATGTTGAGTTGCGCTTTTTATGCCTAACCAATTACTTATTGTCATAATTTGTTACATTTATTCAGTACAGTCTTCTGGTTGTTGTGAAGCCAGTGAAATATTTGGCATTTTTTTATGTTGTCATTATTTTTATTGTTATTTTGCAATATATAAAGTAGTTAGCTCGTCTCTCCAATTGGAAATTCCAGCTCATAATATGGACTGTCTGTGTGGTACTCTGCACTGTTCAGCACATGATTGTTTCTAGGAGCTGGAGCAATGGCTCAGAAGATGAGAACACTTACTGCTATTGCAGGGAACCTGGCTTCAGTTCCCAGTGTCCACGTGAGGGCTCACAACAGATTGTAACTGCAGTTCTGGTTTTAAGAAGTTAAAATGCTAGACAGCACATTTGTTGGCATTTGTTTGGTTATTTCCTTTTTGTAATTTTAGGATAAATTTTATGAAGGTTAGACCACAGCTTCCCATCCTCATTTCTGTTAACTCTAATTGCTCTTTTCACAGGTTTTAGAATAGTGCCTGGCTTTTCGGAGTAAAAATAAATGTTTATCTGAATGAATACAGTACCTTAAGAGATGAAGAGAGTATAGAAATATCAGACATTTTTGTTTACATTTTCTTATGTATTCTTTATCCTAAATACTGTATTAACTTTTCTTATATTCAGTTGAATATGTTTGATATGCCGTTAGGTGCTTCTGATTCCATTCCATACAGTAGCCCTACGCATTTGGTTATAGAACATGTGTAGAAGCTGAGGCTCATGGAGCTTGAATGACATGCTCAGTGTGGTTTTAACGTTACAGTTGTGAAGGTTAGGCTTCCAACACCAACTGAAATTGAGTATCAAGTTTATACATATATAAAATATATTTTATATATAAAATGTCCGGTAATAATAGTTTCTGTGCAACATTTTTAAATAGCCATTGAAAACAGGAGATGGTAAATTTTATCTATAGGTAAAAACTTTCAGTGTAAAGTACACCTAGTGCCTTTACTGTATTCCGAAGGTTTGAGACTCTCTGTGTTCTCTGTTGATTACAGTCTTCACTGTCAGTATCAGAGGACCAGCCATAGAAACAGAGATAGTCTCCATGTTAACACATGTCATGGGATAGGATTAACCAAGCCATTTGTACTCTGCTACTGTTACCACATTGGACTCTATTACTCGATATACTGAATGCTGGAAACCATCTGCATCTTCTAATCATTCTCTTAGTGGAGGGGATCGAAATGTATTATCTAGAAACGAGTCAAAGAAACCAATTTTGTTTTTTAGCCATCCTTAAATCCTAGTGAAGCGCCTCCTTCTGTTGTGAACGAAGACTTCCTTCAGGAACTTAAAGAAGCTCGCATTTCCTACTCACAGGAAGCGGATGATCGAGTGTTCAGAGCTCACGGTAGGCTGTGCACGCCAGGGCTGCTCACACTGGCTTTCTGTCTTTATTTTAAAACTTCCTGTAAGTTAAATTGTTTTGCACTTCTCTTTTTGAACAACAAAACAGGTCACTGTCTTCATGAGATATTCTTGCTCAGGGAAGGGATGTTCGAGCGGATTCCTGATATAGTTGTATGGCCAAGTAAGTTGTTTTAATTCGTTGTGTCATTTCAGTGTGGTTTGTTTCCAGACATATTGTCAGTTCTCTGAGGAATTTATTTAATTTAGTGTGACTTTCTTACTGGTGATGAAACCTAGTTTCCTTTGCATGTTAAGAGAGAAGGTTGCAGCTTGCAGCAATGCGTTTTGAGGCATTGTGCCATCTTGAGTTGCAGGATGTGGAGGCAGTTGTTTCTTTTGTAGTTTAGAGTTGCACACATGTGCAAGCATGGGCGTACACCTACGGAATCTATCGTAGTCTAAAGTCTGTGATCTGGATCTTAATTCTCTGGAGCGCTGCTCATTGAGGTCCGTCCTTCAGGCAGGACTTTTGCCACTGTGACAGTCAGATACTGTGAATGTCTTTTGTTTCCATAAACTTTTGTAACCTATGTTTCCACTGCTGTGTATGTGTGTAAAACCCCAGATTTTCAGTAGCAAAATTAACTTTGTGGGCTAGTGAGATGGCTTAGCAGATAGTGGTGTTTGCCTTCTGAGCATGACCACCTGAGTTTAGTCCCTCGAGTTGGTTCTTTGAACCTACATGAAGTGGAGAGGGCCCAAGTCTATGAGATTGTCCTCTGACCTCCACATGTGCTCCCTGTCAGGTACACACACAGCCACTAACAATAACAGTAACTTTTTTCTCTTTTAAATTTGGGCCAGAGACATGGCCCAAAAACGTAAAAACACTGACTGTTCTTCCAGAGGACGCAGACTGTCTTCCCAGCATCCACATGAGAGTTTAACGCCAGTTCTGGGAGATCCAGTACCTCTTCTGGCTTCTGTGGGCACTGTGTGTGCACGTTATACAGACACACACACAGGCAAAGCATTCATACACATAAAATTAAAAATTAAAAAAAAAATAACCTCACTTGAGCTGGATATCATATGTTTTTGTAATCCTGTCACTTGGATGGCAGAGGCAGGAGAATCAGGAGTTCCAGGTCATCTTTGCTGTATTATAGGTTTAGGATCAGCCTAGATCAAAAAACCAAATCCCAAAGCAAATTTTCCACTTAATAAGTTAGTATTTATGCTTATTTCTAGTATGCTACATGTCAAAATATGAATACCTCAGCTAGTTACTGAAGATAAGAAGTGAGGAGCAAAATCTCTTTTCTCAAGTACAGTGGGATTTAGTGAGGGAGGAGAAACAAGTTATATACCATGTTGGATAGTGCCGACCATTACAGAGCAATTCAGAGAAGACACTGTCTAAAGGGATGGGTGGTGCATGAGGCAGTGCTGTTTCTGCAGCACAGTCAAGGAAGACTTAATAAGTTAGAGTCATAGAATGCATTTTGTCTTAACATTTTTTAACAGGTGTTTTCTGGTGTTTCTTTAGTTATTCGCAATCTATTTCTCCGTCTCTGTCCTCTTTCTCTGTCCTTGTCTCCCTCCTTTCTTTCCTCCCTCCCTCCTTCCTCTCTCCCTTCTTTTCTCTGTGTATATAATATGGTGCATGAGTGTATGTGGGTATCTGTGCATATGCATGCAGAAACCAGAGTAGGAGACATGGGGTATCTTCTGTCTCGATCCCTTATTGCCTTGAGAAACTCAACATTTCTGCTAGGCTGGCTGGTTACTGAGCGCTCAGGATCCATCTCCCTTGGACAATGCAGGAGTTACAGGTGCATGCATCTATGCCTGATTTTTTATGTCAGTGCAGGGGACTTAACCTTAGGTCCTTACGCTTGCAAAGCAAGTGCTTTTGTTCATGGAGCCATTTCCTAGCCCTCGTATGTTATCTTTTCAACTACTAGTACTAAGGTTTATAAGCTTAATATGAAAGCCTAAAAATAGATTTTGATTAAAAATTGCATGGGGGTGGGGGCTGGAGAGATGGCTCAGAGGTTAAGAGCACTGGCTGCTCTTCCAAAGGTCCTGAGTTCAATTCCCAGCAACCACATGGTGGCTCAAAACCATCTATAAAAAGGTTTGGTGCCCTCTTCTGGCATGCAGGTGTGATATGTAGGCAGAACACTATACATAATAAATAAATTAAAAAAAAATTGCAGTGGGCCCCAATTTCTTGGTAGAATATGTGTTTAGCATATGCAAGGCCCTGGGTTTAATTCCCGACAATGGAACTATACAAAGGCTAAGTATTTCTAGCTTTATGCAAACTGAGAGAGATAATTATAATACTTGTTAAATGTAAATCAGTTCACTTTTGCTAACATCTTCTTTTTCTTTCAGGATCTTAGCAGTTAATATTATAATTTTTTATTTTCCTTGCCTCAAAGCATTGTATTCTGTGGGATACAGTGTTCAATGAGACTGATCTTAAGTACTCCCTGCCATGTTGCTCCCTCCTTAAAACCCCTGCTCATGTCCCAGTGCCAAGGGCTGGAGTAGTACCATCTTATTTGATGAGCAGTCTTTCTTAGTTAGATTTTTACTATTTAGATAGCTTTAGTTCCATAACACTGAAAGGAATTCATGTGCTATTCTGCTTTGTGGAAGATTTTACTATTTGTTTAGGAATAAAGAAACAGTAGTGCTAAAATTAATAGGTAAAAGTATGTGAAATATGCTGTTTACATAGTTTGAATATATCTGTTGATTTCAACAGGAAATAAAACATTGTTCCAGTAGCTTACCTAGCTGACAGTACCTACGTAAGCAAATGATCAAATTTAAAATTCTAAGAATGAGACATATTTTTGGCCATACTGTGCTAAAAAGGCATAACACCATTCCTGTGAGATTCTTGCCAACTATTCAGTCTCATTTAATCTCAGGGAAACATGCAGATTTACACTGAGACATATACTTGAAATAACTACCTGAAGTTCCTCATAAGTGTCATTGATAATAGATAAGTAAATGTCTATTTAGAGAAGGTTAACAAGACATCACAATTAGATCAGTGTGTGATTTCAGGTTGGACCCTGGTCTGAAAAGGGATGTTAGTGGAATATTGGAGGAAGAACTATGGATTGTTTTTGTCTATATTATTTGATTGGTTTTGATAATTAGACTTCCTTGTATGAGATGTTAATATTTGAGAATGTGACATGAAGGACATTTATATATATATATTTTTTTAAAAAAAAATTCTGAATTGTTAAAAAATACAGAGTTGAAAAGAATCTCTTGCATCCATTTAACAAGATATGCATGCGTAAATGAGGAAAGTTCAGGTGGTCAAGAGCTTTACTGATGCTCATTTTGTAAGAGTGTGCGGATTTTACTTATGTGCCTATGTTAATCCATTTTCCTTTTTCAACAGCATGTCATGATGACGTGGTTAAGATTGTGAACCTAGCATGCAAATATAACCTTTGTATCATCCCAATTGGTGGTACGTACTGTGTTTTCAATTTTATCGCGTTTAATTTAGTTGTATTTAAAATATTAGTGTTGTTATTTATATTTCCCTAAAAACAAAATTTTGTGATTATGATGTGGTTATTAAACATTGGTTTATATTGAGCATTTGTGTTGTAAGTAGGTCCACCTAAGCTGCTTGAGGTGTTGTTTACTTCCCATTCCTGTCTTTCCTGAGTGGGTCAGAGCTGAAGATGTTTTTAATGCTGAATAAGAAATGCTCATTTCGTAGTTAACTTTAACCTGTGTGTCTTTGGAGAACATTTTAGTTTTTCAAGGCAAAATCTAAGAGCACCCAGTGTCAGCTGTGGAGGAGCTGAGTGGTCATGGGGCACCGTGAGGGTGAAAACCCCCTGGTGCACTGGTGGCTGGGCAGTGCCCCTGACTCCGGAGAGCCAGCAGTGCCTTTGTCTTCCAGTAAATTGGTCTTGGAATTTTTGCTTTGCTGTTGACTGCGTGATTTTAGTAAGCCAAAGGCAATTAACTTCACTTACTGTACTGGCCTTGGTGAGTAAAAGTTGGAGCTCAGCTGCTCTCAGAGCCCAGATTCCCTCTCCAGATGATGCTGTCCCTGCAGTTAGTGAGCAGAGGTACCACAGTGCCGCTTCTTACGAAGTTTTCTTTATTGAAAATGGTTTGTAAGCAAGTGGTGGTTACCAGCCACAGGTTCTGCATTTGCTACTGACAGTCTTACCTGGGGAATTAAGCTGATGTGTAGATCGCTTCTTCTGGAAGTTGAATTCCAGAGGTTTCTTCTCCATATAGACTGTATGGAAATAGCAATTAAAACTTTATTTTGATATGGGATGATTGCAGTTAAAACTATAAATACTGTATTATTCTCTGTTAAAAAGATATCTCTTAACAAATTATGTTAAGAGGAAATAGGAATATTATTTAGCCTATTTTGCCATCACTTTGCACCAAAGAATATGAAATTTTGTTTTTAAATGTCATGATGTAGGCATTTAGCTTGTTTTTATTTTAATTTATGAAAGCTTTTTTTTTTTTTTTTTTTTTTTAACAAGACTCTTACTGTAACAAAAAGACAATCATGTACTTATGGCAGCAAGGAGTTGGTGGTACTTCTGGAATTGTCTTTTTCTTCTAAGCTATCTCTCCATGGTGATCATTAGCTTAGATCTTTGCTATTTATGTTTTTGGAGTTCTACAAATTGCTAGGGCTTTCCGTAAGTGTCTCATGACCAGGGATGGAGCCATAGCCCATTGATTTCAGCTCCATAGTAGTCTGCATTTGGCATTCAGCATAAAATAAAGGTAAGTTTGTTTTTGGTGTGTTAGCTTTTGCAAAGTAGAAATAGGTGTTACCACTAGCAGGTCTGTTTTTGTTCTGTGTACTAGGGACTTGTTCCAGAAATGTAGCAGAAACAAAATATTTAAACATAAAGTTTTGTTTCTTGTTTGACAGGAGGAACAAGTGTGTCATATGGCTTGATGTGTCCTGCAGATGAGACAAGAACAATAATTTCTTTGGACACTTCACAAATGGTATATGATATTTTAAGATATATTTGGGTTGTTTCTGTTTAAAACATCATTTTCTTACTGTTCTATTTCGTGGCATGTTCCAGTAATCAGAAACTAAGTTCCCTTGTTCTAAGGTACAGATCTTAGTGCTCTACAGCCAAGTTAGCATGTGAATTGGTCATTTGAGAAGCGTGATTTTTGAAGCTTGAGACAGTGAATAACTTGATGTCTGTTATTGCAAAGAAATGATTAGTTAGGAGTAATCTGAGTAGTGTGTACCTACTTGCCTCCCAGACTTAAACTGGTGCTTTTGCAGATTTGCTGGGGATGGTAGAAGAACTCCTTTTGGTAAGATGTGAAAGCTGTACTGTTAAAGTTTTAACCTGGGTTGAATTTTACCTTTATATGTCAATGGTAGTTCTGAGTAGCAACTTTACATGAACTTTTACATTTGCATTTGAACATCAAGGGAGAGATAATAGCGCCTTTGAGCAGAATGAAAAGTAACTAATGCTTTGTTACATTTGCTCTTACATTTTCTAGAACTTTTAAAACAAATATATATATATATATATATATATTTTTTTTTTTTTTTGCATTGTCAGGAAGATATTTCTTTTTTTTTTATTCTCATTAGTTATATTTTGTTAATTCTGTATCCCAGCTGTATCCCTCATTCCCTCCCTAAATCCCACCCTCCCTCCCTCATCTCCTCCCTGCCCCTTTCTAAGTCCACTGATAGGGGAGGACCTCCTCCCCTTTCATATGACTCCGTAAAACAAATCTTGATGTGCTACTTTGTTTTGTCTCTCTTTTAAAAAAAGGTCTTTTTTCATTTAACTACTGTATTTTTGTCTTAAGTCAACATCATTTTCTTATGCTAATCTATGTAGTCTACACCTTTTTTTAAAGGTGTCTTTATGATAGTTGCTTAGTTCTAATGGGCCTAGAAAAGGGCCTTGTTAACTTCGGATGTTTCTCACTTTATCTGAGACTGTACTTTCCTTTTTCCCAGCATTACTGATTTCGAAGAAACTAGGCTATTTATAGTATGGAATGACATATTTTGAATTCATCTGCTGTTCTTTCTTGCTGTCATATAACTATTATTTTAGGTCTCAGATATAGTCTAGTAATTTTTTCCTTTTTCCCTCTAGCCTCCCTTCCTCCTCTCCCTCCATGCTTCTCTCTTCTCCATAGAAAGCTTATCTTACTGACATCAATGTGTTCTTTAAAAAATCAACACATAATGGTACATGCTTTGAGGTTATCATTTTGATTCACGTTTACTTTGGGTAATGGTCAAATCAGCAGATAGCACATCCATGACTTTGTAGTATGCTTTTAACATCATGTAACCTTGGGAGAGATCCAGTTCGGATAGTAACTTGCCTGATGGTTGCACTGTAATACTCTCATCATTCTTTCTCTTTATTCTGGAGTTTAAAAAGGGACAGCTTCTTCCAAATAGCTTAGGAATAGCCTATTCTGGAATAGGCTTTAGAGTGTTCTTAGATTTCGGGGTCTTTACTATATGCAGATTTACCTCTGTTTCCGGATATGTAAAGTAAGAAAAGTATTAATCATTACAAAAGGTCATGTAAAGGTTAAATGAAATATTATAAAGTTTAAATTCTGGCATTGAGCATCTGCTTCAGTCTCTGGCAGAAATTTAAAGATTTTATTTATACTTTTAATTTTTTGAATGTGTTTGTATGGAGGGTACATGTGGGTGGCTGTGGAAGCCAAAAGAGGGCATAGGTTTCCTGAAGGTAGAGTCATTTGTGAACAACTGATATGGGTTCTGGGAACCAACGTAGGTCTCAGTAAGAGCAGCAATCTCTCTAAACCACTGAGCCATCTCTCTAGCCCACATGGCAAAATTCTAGCCCGTTCATGGAGAAACCTTGTGTATCCCCTGCCTTAGCATTGAACTATCTCACATACTGTGAGGGGACCTGGTTTACAGTGACATCGTCAGCCACATTTGGATGTGACGCAATGTGCTTCTGCTATGTAGAAGTTAGGACAGTTAAGGCCTGTTGGCTGTACCCCCCACCCTGTTTTGAAACAGGGACTCATGTAACCTAGACTGGCTTCCAACTTTTGTTCATGTATCTTCTGTGATGCTAAAGCTAACCTTGAGCTCCTGACTCTGCTACCTCTACCTCCCGAGTGCTAACATGCAGGGGTGTGTCATCTTCCTAGTTTTATGCTGTGCTGGGGGTCGAACTTGGCTTCATGGCGGACACAAGCACTCCGCAGGCCGAGCTATAGCCTCAGCCCCTGTTTTTCTGTTGTTAATGTGAATTGTGTAGTGCATACTGGATGTAGAGTAGCTGTACATTTTCTTTAGGTTTTTATAAAAAAAAAAAGTGTCTCAAACTTGATGAGTGCAAGACAAATGTTAGTTCAAGTATGTAGTTGCCTCAAGAGTTGGTGCATACAGTATGTATAAATTATCTACAATTCCATCAAATTAATACATTCTCTGTTTTTTATTCTGCAGTATTCAGCTTTTATATTTATATCCTAAAACAAAGTTTACTCACTTACATTTTACTACTTAGTATAATTGTGTGAAACAGTTATTTGTATGTGTTAAAATTAGAATTTAGGCAGTCTACTAATTTTGTATTGTCTGTTGTGTTACTCCCCTTTTATTATTAACTAAGTTTATGTTATTATTAAGGTATAGAATGTGTCAAACATACAAACAAAACTTACTTGGGATTCCTCAGATATGTAACATGTATATGAGTATAGTTAACTAAAAATACCAGAAAAATATTTTATTGTGGATATTTAGTGAGTTGAATTAGTCAAGAAAGGATCTAGTCCCTCCTGTTCCTTTTGGACAGGGACAGATCCTGTGTTGCCCAGGCTGACCTCAGACATACGGGGTAGTTGTGACGGGGTAGTAGGTGACCTTGAACTCCTGATCCTCCATTCTGTACCTCTGGAAATGCAGGAGTGCACCACTATCCTGGCTCAGTTCCTTTTTTGGAGCATGAGGCAGGAATTTGTTTGATTTGATGTATTTCTGTTCTTTTTTTCCTCAGATTTTTTTAAGTGCAGAGATGCCGTGTATTATAGTTAAATATCTTAGTAGGTGTTTTTCTGTTCTATTTTCTGATTCTTAGATATGATTGTAGTAGTACAAATAGGTATTTCCTATATACTGTTTGTTTATTTATTTTTTTGTTTTTTTGAGACAAGAGTTTCTCTGTGTAGCCTTGGTTGTCCTGGTCTGGCTCGCCTTGAACTCACAGAGATCCGCCTTCCTCTGCCTCCCTGGGTGCTGGCTTATACACCACCATGCCCAGCTTTGATTTTTATGTGGAATATCTTTTAAAATTCCTTTAACAACTCTGTTAGTATGTATATTTTACAAGTGAGGACTTGCTAAGACTAGATAGTTCCTGCCCAGCTAAGCAGTGGTATTTAGTGTAATATCCGCAGGAAGACTGAGTGTTTGTTTCTACCCAGTGCATGCAGAGTGTGCTGCTCCTGTTGCAGTGCCATGGTGTAGAGTAAGGAAAAGGGGGTTGACTTTTCTTCTTTTCTAATTACTACTTGTTACTGAAGCTTTGAATTGGGAAGTTAGGTATTTCCTTAAAAAATGTTAATGGCTCGAAGGAATGAGACCTCTCTCTTCCTTTGTAACAGAACCGGATTCTCTGGGTTGATGAGAACAATCTGACAGCTCACGTAGAGGCTGGGATAACAGGACAAGATTTGGAAAGACAGGTATGTTATGTCCTTAATTAAGGTTTTCTAAACAGCTATGTTCTCTGTCTGAAGGAGCTACCTTTCACAATACATTGTTCACTTACTGAATTTGTTCAGTTTTCGTATGTTGAGCTAGAACTGAGAGTACAGTAGTGAATGAGATACTATCTTCTATGTTCAGGGGGCTTATATTGGGATAGAAAGTTGGAGAACTAGACAGTGAATGATTCAGGGTAAGTAAGACTAAATTCAGCTTGGATGTGTCATCAGCTTGGATGGGGCCATATAGGAAGGTCTTGGACAATTATGTATCATGGAGGTTTGGCATTTAAAATGAGACTTCAGTAGAAGGGAATGAATAAGAACCAAGTATGTATGAAAATACCATAATGAAACCATTACTTGGCATAATAACTGTAAAGATTAATAAAATAAAATGAGGCTCAAGAATGAGTCAGGGTTAACAGGAAGAGAACAGTCTTGAAGGAGTGTATGCAGAGCTTTAAAGGGAGCCATTGCTTTTGGAACCCATAATCTTTCTACTCTTCTTCAGTATTTAATAAAGTTTTAAAGTTTCTCTTTATGGATTCTAAGCAGGTAATTGTTAAAATTGATTGTTAGAATTGATTCATAGGGGCTGGAAAGATGGCTCAGAGTTTAAGAGCACTGACTGCCATTCCAGAGGCTCTGGATTTAATTCCCAGCACCTACGTGGCAGCTTACAGCTCTCACAACTCTAGCTCCAGTGGATTCATTACCCTTTTCCGGTCTCCATGGCCTTTGCATGCATGTGGTGCACAGACATACTTGCAGTCAGAGCACCCATTCACATAAAAATGAGAATCTAAAAAAAAAAAAAAAAAAAAAAGAAAAGATTGATTTTTTTTAAAGCTTCTCCAAATATGGGCAAGATGATTTTGATTCAGGTTTTATAGACAAAAATTAAGAATTGCAGTCTGTTGGTTGACACACCAATCACTTTTTTCAAACTACATTTTAGAGTAGTTTGCCCTGAATCGTTAATAAGACACAGAAGACGTGTGGTTGTTGATCGTATTTTCATTTTCTTTCCCTCTTATTTGAGATGAGTGAAGTTGGTCTACTTGTAACTGATTCTCGGAAAGCTTTATTACAATACTGAGAAACATTTTTGAAATACTAAGTTTCAGTTATGAATAATTTTTGTGAAACTGTATGTGGAGAAGTGCAGTGGAGAGGAAATGGTGACTGCCGCCCGGCTGAGGCAGCTTACCTCAAGGGTGGAAAGGAGTTACACGTTCTTAAACTTGAGCAGATTTGTTGCGGTATTGTTAGAGATCTTCAAGCAGGTCAAGGCTTTATATAGCGAAGAGAAAGGACTTATTAATTAGTACAGTTTATCATGAAATTTGATACTATTCGATGAAAAACATCTAAAAGGTCCTGGATTAGTTAGTCCTCCATTAGCTTGGACAAGAGGCGTTATCAACAGCCATTTTCTTTAATAACAAAGAATGGCCTTTTGGGCCCTCAGTTTTGTTTTTTTTCTTTAAGATTTACTTAAAAATTTATTTATTTTTATTTTTGTGTGTATGGGTAATTTGCCTGCACGTGTACAGATGCGTGCACCGTGTGCGTGTTTGTGTGTGATGGGTCCCCAGAGCTGAAGCTACAGACAGATGTGCACTGCCATGTGGGTGCTGGGAACCCAACCCTGGTCCTCTAGAGGTGTGCAGCCAGTGCTCGTAACCGCTGAACCATCTGTCCAGTTGGGCCTCTACTTTTATATCCTTTATTATAGCATATGCTGTCGTATTTTAACCTTTCCAGGTTTTCCTTTTTTTAAAAGTTAGAAATAAAATCAAGGATCATATCCCCTTGGAATTTAAGTGACATTTTCTCAGTAGGTGCTTGTGAGCTCTCACCTGCTAGTTGGTTCCTCTCGCTGTGACAAAGCCTCCTGGGCCTGCAGTGGCTCTGGCAGCTGGCAACCGCTTCCCTACACCCTCGCTAAGCTCCTGTGTCTTCTACTTATAGCTTAGATAAGACAACCAGGTTAGAACGTCCTGTTCCTTCCTTGGAGAAATTTGAAGTGACACAAGCACACAAGCTGAGGAGCAGATTTTAATCTCTTTAACTTGTAAATTACATTGAATTTTTATGGTTACATGTTAAGCCTGTCACTACCATGGCAGTTAGGGACTTGGGGATTTCCTTAGGGGTTTATTACATCTTTGGCGACTTTTTAATCTAATAGTCTTGAGATGTGTCAGCTTAGTCTCTTTCTTCTCAGAGATAGCATCATTAATAATTTTATAGTTTCTTGTTTTGTTCTTGTTTCAAGGAGCCACTAGCTTTTCCTGTAAACTTCAAATGTACATTTTATCTGTGTGACCTTGGGTAGGATACCAACCTTTATGTTTCAGAGTCTTCATCTGTGAAATGGTCACGATAGTTCCTCTCAAGGCTTTCGCTAGAATGAAGTACGGTAATAATATAACACATTTAGAACTTCAGTCCACAATTTCTATCAGACATTATTTACTCCATTCAGGAAGATTTCCAAACTTCTCCTCAATGTAGATTTCTGTCCTGCAATGTTGATGACCATATCCAGTTCCTGGCTGTCTGTCTCTTTGCCTGAGCTCAGCATTATCAAAGCTGAAGTTGTAGTGATAAAATTTGCAGTTGTCTCTCAAATATTGCTTGTTTTGTAGCCTCCTCCATCTACTCAGACTTTATACTTCCCGTATCTAAGGCCCAGTGCACAAAAACTATTCTTTGAATAAATTTTCCCTTTCCAACATGGCTGCTAAACCTATGGGAGAATCAGTATTACAAGTCTCCTTAACTCTCACAGAACACTGATAAGTCATAATTACAGATATCAAGTATATGTCACATTATCAGTCATACTATGGATTATTTTTGTACATGGCTTATTTTCTAACTGGTACTATGTTATACTATATAGGGCTAGACTGCTATCTTTTCTAATTAGAGGAGAATTTTAACTCTGAAGTTGCATAAACTTAATTGCTTACTAAATTTTCAGGAATAATATAACAGTCTTGCCACCTGTGCTGGCTAGTTTTATGTCAACTTGACACAGGCTAGAGTCTTTCGAGAGATGAGAATGTCAGTTGAGAAAATGCCTCCATAAGCTCAGGCTGTAGGCAAGCCTGCAGAGCATTTTCTTAATTAGTGATTGATGGGGGAGGGTTAGCCCATTGCAGATGGTACTACCCCTGGCCTGGTGCTCTTGGGTTCTATTAGAAACGGGCTGAGTAAAGCCAGTAAGCTTTTTGAATTATGAGTCATAATTTCTTTTGGTTGAGGTGTAGGTGTCCTAGAATGACTGCTGTCATTTAAAGTGTACAGTTGGACATTGAGTCTCCCTGAAGCACCAGCACTGTCAGGTGACAAAACAGATCTCTTCGTAGTTGCTCACATGGCTTAGGGATTCTTGAGTTTTTTTTTTCTAATTTAATAAACTTGAGAAAATTATGTCAATGTAGATTGTTTGAAGATGGAGCTAAGGAGGAAGTCTAATATAATGATAATTTTCATTTTAATCTTCCTTATTTATGATTGGTTACTAACTTCTTAAAAATAAATATATTGACTATTTAGTGAAAAAAGTAACTAGTAATTGTTGTTTTGTCAACTAGAAAGTATAATTTGCATCAGTGGCATGCGAATCTAACAGTTTGTGTTTAAGCTAGTGGGCTCACACCCTTTGGATTAACTTTCATGTCGCACTTCACTTTGATGCATGGGTACAGACATTGCTGACACTCTACATCTCTGCATGACTTACTTGAGAAATCAAAGACTATCAGATGGTCAACACAGATTGATGGACTTGGTGCAGGTCACAGTGAGTGTACAGATGGTGGCGTCTGTACCGTTTGACAGGAGATGGCCAAGGCTCTGAAATGATTCCAGTGGAATGGCTTTGGTGTTGTTGCAGAAAAGGGCATCTATTCAACCTCAGGTGCTGTCCAGATGGTGAAGCCAAGCTAATATAGAAAAATGAGAAACAAGTGACTATTTAATGCACAGGAATGCTTGGTCCACATCACAAGTAAATGATGGCATTGCATTTGGGAAGCCTAGCCAGATGGCTGTACATTAAAACACAAGACTCCTTGAGAGAATTAAGTACAGGCAATTTGCTCAGATTTTCTGGAGGCCTGCTGCATATTATATTAGGGTAGGGGAGAACGAGAGATAAAGTGCTTTATTTATTGAAAGTGTTAGGGGGTGTTGGCAGTTATTTAAGCTTAATTTGATCTCCATAAGTATTTTACATGTCTCTTCAAGGGGCATAAGGAAGGGTCAGCTGGCTTTAAAAACAAAATGTGAAGAGTAGTGTTTCTTGGCCCACACCTTTTCAATTTTATGAAAGTTTTTCACTAGGCAAAAAAAAAAAAGTTTTCTTTACAGGTTTTAATGTGTCAAAAATATTAGAAACAAATTGGAGGAGTCAATGTTTTGAATACTGTGTGAAATGGAAACATTTTTGCCAGTAAAATTTTACATTTTTGCTTTACAGCTTAAAGAAAGTGGTTACTGTACAGGTCACGAGCCAGACTCCCTGGAGTTCAGCACCGTGGGAGGGTGGATATCTACGCGAGCATCAGGCATGAAGAAGAATATCTATGGCAACATTGAGGACCTGGTAAATTGATTTTTCCTTACTGCCTAATGATCAGTGTCTGTAAAATAGGATAAAGTGCTTAAAGCCTTTACAAATTAAGGATTGGATGGTAAAGATCTTCAATATATGTACCTTTTACTAATACTAATACTGATTGTGACCAGCAGAAGCAGTTACAGTGTAACTGTGGTCATATTTAAGGATGCCCTTTTAAAAGTGACTGACATTTAAGATTTGCAGATGTTCCATAGCATCTAACTGAAAGTGTACAAATTATTATTTTACAAGTCTCATTTTTATTCTTTCTGTAGGAGATTTTACATTTACTTTTCTGAAGGAATTCCCTCTTTCTCTGTTCAGTTGAAGAGCCTCATAGAAATGGTTCTATTAAGGATAAGCTGTCATTTTTAACATGTGCCAGTCTTCTGGGAGCATGATGGTGTTGTGACACTGGGCACCTTTATGGTTTTGGGTGCCTCTTGCAGCTTTTCTGGGGATTTGTTATTTGGCCTTGGCAAACTGGTTTACTTTTTCCAGCTTCAGTTTTCTTTTCTGTAAAATACAAGAATTATATTAGAATTATTACATGGTTAAAGGACATAAAATGAGGTTTGCAGTCTGATATATAGCAGATGCTTTCCTCAATGTTAGTTTTTAAATCTTCAGTATTTCAACAATATTGTATTTATTTAACTTGACATTTTTCTACATGGTCTTGCTACTGAGCCAAGGCTGGCCTAGAACTTGCAATTTTCCAATTTTGATTTTGGGTGCTGGGGTCACAGGCAGGCAGCACCATGCTGGGTGGTTGATAGTACTTTAGAAGAACCTGTGAGGCTGTTAAATTGAAGTAATACTCCTGCATTGCTCTGGCTTTGTTTTGCAAGCTTAAGGTCTCAAGGTGTTTATTAACTTCTGTTGGTAGGAATATCAGGTATACTTCGTGAGAGAGATTAGCTTTTACCAGTCAGTATCCAGTATTTTACATGAATTCTTTCAAAATGCTTGTTATTTTGTTTAAGAAATGTTAATACTTCTGTTTTCTCTTTGTATTAAAATTAGATTCAGTTGTAGAGAAAATTAATTTTGGGTTGTAGATTATTAAGAGCTTTATAAATCAGGCAAATACTTGATAGACCACTAAAGAGCATAATTTAATTTATTCTTTTTTTTTTTCTAAAGATTTTTTAAGAAGAAAAGATTCTGCATACAGTTAACACAGTACATAAGTTATTACATAGCATATTTTATTTTTAAGTTTTTTTGTAACGTGTGTCCTTTTAAACTCGTAATTTACATTGCTTTTATGAAAATGCTAATTAGCCTGGTATTTTAGTTTTTGTGGCTACAGTAGAATTTACAAAAAGTTTCTAAGTGTTAATAATTCTTTAATGAAAGTGTAGACTTAAAAATATAGTAAGTTGGGCTGGAGAGATGGCTTGGAGGTTAAGAGCATTGACTGTTCTTCAAAGGTCCTTAGTTCAATTCCTAGCAATGGCATGGTGGCTCATAACCATCTGTAATGAAATCTGGTGCCCTTTTCTGGTGTACAGGCAGAATGGTGTATAAATAATAAATAAATCTTAAAGCAAAACAACAACAACAACAACAACAAAAAAAACCCCCAGAAACAGCAGGCTTAAAAAAAAAAAAAGAAACACTAAATGCATGCATGGTTCTTGGTTGGTGCATTAGTCTACATGAGGCCCCTGGGCCCGGGTGAGTTGGCTCTGTTGATCTTCTTGTGGAGTTTCTGTCCCCTCCAAGCCCTGTTCTTCCCGTCTCTTCCACAAGACTCCCTGAATGTGTGTGCAAGTATAAGCACAGATCTGACAGATGCGTGGAATCTACATTGTGTGCTTATTAAACAGGTGGTTCATATGAAAATGGTGACACCCAGAGGTGTAATAGAGAAGAGCTCCCAAGGACCTCGCATGTCAACGGGCCCTGACATCCATCACTTCATCATGGGATCTGAAGGTTGGTTAACTGTAAAGTTGTTAGAAAAATATGTAGGTGAAAGGTTTCATTTTGTGAAAGTCTGTGATACTGTGATATCTTTGAAAGAAAGGTATGCATTATAATTTAAAGAATAATGAGTTCTTATGACACTTTAAATTCATATTTCATAAAGCTTTTATAATGAGAACATCTTACTCAGCATCCTTATGCACAGTGCTCGTTTATATTTCTGAAAACAGTGTGGTCTTTTTGTTTTTATTTTATTGTATTCAGAATTTAGTGAATCTTAAGAAACAGTGTTTAGGGCTTAAATATTTTAAATTTGTGTATTACAGTTTAATCCTGTCACAGTTATCAAGAGAAAGGACTTTTTCTCTTATTTTCCTGTAATTATATGTTTTGCTACTTAGTGTTGGATTTTTTTAAGTGCTGTAAATTTCATTTACTCATGTGTCTTTTAAAACTTGTTTGTCATTTAAATTTTTATTTTGCAAGTAATATCACTGCTTGCTTGCTTAATGTTGGATAGACTAGAATGGCGCCCTCAGATCCTGCAAGTGTGTAATTCATTCTGTTGTGCAAGCTGTTGAGGAAGCGTAGTGGAGAATGGTGTGAGGAAAGTGAACTTGGGCTGGTAGAACATAGTTGTTCCCTTTAGAAGTCTCAGGAGCCCAGCTGTTACAAGCCACATTTTTTTTTTTTTTTTTTTTTTTAACCAGCGTCTGGTCTTCCAAACTCCTACTAGAATTATTCATTTTGTTCTGTTTATGGCATTCCAGGACTTTTCCAAACTCCTACTTCAGACTTTTCCATATTCTTCTCACAAATCAAAAGCCCAAGAACTACATGGTCAAGTTCATTACAGCAAAAACCCCATTCCTGATGGGAGTTTGCTTTATTGGTTACTTTTCTAGCAGTTCGACTAAATACCAGGTTCAAAGCTGTTTGAGGGAGGAATGGTTTGCTTTGTTCACAGAGGGGAAGATATGGCTTGTAGCCCTGGTGAAGGAACCTGAGGCTTCTTGACAGTATTGCCACACACCAAGGAGTAGAAGCCTTGGACAGAAGTAGGGTCATTCTATAACTCACTGCTAGTTCCCCAGTGATGGATGTCATCGAGTGAAGACTTACTTTTAAAAGTTCCACAGCCTCCTGAATTAGCACTTCTAGAGGAAGAGACAAGGGGTTCAGACACATGAGCCTGTGGGGTTGTATTTTATATCCAGCCATAATATGAACATATTTGATATTACTGCAGCCTTTGGAAATCTGTGCAAGTTTGTTGTGTTAATTTAGTTTGTGATCTGTCCTGGAGAATATTCTGTGTGTACCTGAACTAAAGCTACATTCTGCTATTGTTGAAAAGTATGTTCTAGTCTATGAGGGCAAATTCACATAAAGTGTTGTTCAGTCTTCTCTTTGCTCAGTTCTTAAGTTATATTGAAGGTTAGGTATTGAGATCACCAAGTATTCATTGTCCTTATCATTTGTATCAGTTTTCCGTCATTTTTTTACACCCTGTTACTAGCACCATCTTTTTATAATTGTATATCTTCCTAATGATTTATTACAAAGTGTTTCTGTGTAGTAACATTCTGTTTAAAGTCTGTTTTGTCTGGTATTAGTACTTGGTTTGCATGGCACACCTTTGCCATATTTGAGTCTAGGTGTATTTCAAAGTGTGTCTCTGGCAGCGACAGTCCATTTCAGTTATTTAGAACAGTAGTTCTCACCTTTCCTGATACTCTGACCCTTTAATACAGATAGTCCTTCATGTTGTAGTGACCCCCAGCCATACAGTTCTTTTCATTGCTACTTCATAACTGTAATTTTACTACTGTTAGGAATTGCAAGTGTCTGTGTTTTCAGATCATCTTAGGTGATGCTTGTGAAAGCGTCATTCACCCCTAAAGGGATTGTAACCCACAGGTTGAGAACCACTGATTTTGAAACTCTTGTCTTTTAATTGCTTAGTACATTCATATTTAATGTCGTTGCCACAGTTGGAGCTATTCAATCCATCTGTTTTTTTTTGTTTTGTTTTTGCTTGCCTTTGCATTTAGCAAGTACTTTCTTCTCTATGATTTTAATTTCCTTCACCCTACCCCCTTTCCAGCATACCTATTTTAGTTTTTTTTTTTAATTGGTTGCTTTATGGCTTAAAAATATACACCTTAAGCAGAATCAACTTGATACTAATATGTCATAAAACACAGAAGTAGCATTCTTATATAGCTGTATCCTTTAAACTTTCTTTTATGTTATATTATTATAAATATTACCTGTATAACTATTATAAACCCCAATAGTATAATTATTACTTTATGTAATTGTGTGACTGTAATGAAGAAAAATGAGAGCACATACATGCCTAGAGCTTTGTTGCTTATCCTTTTCGGTTCTTTTGTGTCTTTTACTAAGATTCAAGTCACTATATGCAGTCATAGCCACCTGCACAGGACCATTGTTTCCACTCAACTTGTGCTGCGGAAGACTCAAGTGTAGTATATAGTAGGATGGCACTGTTTGATAGCATTGTTTTTAAATGGCGCACAACAGGGTTTTCATCCGGTGGGTCATGGCTGTTTTGGGAGACTAAAACCTTTTCACAGGGATTGCATATCAGACATCCTGCATATTAACAGGTACCCGTAACATGAGTATCTGTATGAAAAGGTTACAACATTAGGAAGGTTGAGAACCACTGATGTATAAGAAGAAAGATGTAAACATCTGTATTGCTTTTTGTAATTATGTAGGCCTTCCTTAGTGATCATAACTGCACTCTACCCATCTATTAACCTATATTTTCTGCCTATACTAATTTTCATATTCTGGGCCCTTAGTATAGAAGAAATCTCATAGTATGTGGCTTTGTGGTTGTTTTTTTTTTTTTTGTTGTTGTTGTTGTTTTGTTTTGTTTTTTTTCCCCCTTTGTATATATAACTTCTTGAACTGGTGCTCTCTGTTGTGATTTCTGTTTTTGTTTATTGGTGCTGACTTGAATTTTTGGTGTTTGAGGATAGAGATGTCACATTTCAGAGCTGAGCACTCAACGTTTACTTCTTAACACTTCAACAGTTTTTGCACGGACTGATGCTCACTGCAAGAAGAAGCTTCTCTGGTCTCAATAGTGGACTAACCTATGGGTATAAACATAACTATTTAAAGGTAGTTTGGCAGTGTCACTTTAACAAAACAGCAGTAGTAGCCTCTGTCCACCCTTCTGCTTACACACAGGCCCTATGACCTCTCCAGTCATAGGCTTTTGACAGTATTACAGCACATTCCTGTAGACCAGGCCTTAGATCCAATTAGAAAATAGTCATTTGCTTCCTTAACAGTCATGCCATGATTTTACCCACAGATACATCTTGCCTGGCAGGTTGGTATTGTATCATTCAGGGTCTAGTACTGTAAAAGGTAGCCAGCCAACAGGGAGAAAGCTTGCAGGTCAGTTCATCATGATTTCTCTATTTGCTGAAACCAAAGTGTATTGTGTCTTTTAGCAGTAGGGTCTTACTGTCTAGTTACAGTGGGTAACTAGGAGGATGGCAATAGCCATTATGTTTTTTTGAGGGCTTCTAGCCATTTTTTTAAACTTAAATTTATTTTTTATAACTTACTCACTTTGCATCCTAAATGTAGCCCCCACCCTCATCTCCTCCTGGTCCTACCCTCTTTCCCTCTTCTCCCTTATTCCCCACCCCTATTTCTCAGAAAGGGGAGGTCCTCCTCCCCTGTCATCTGCCCCCGCCTATCAGGTCTCATCAGGGCTGCCTGCACCTTCTTCCTCTGTGGCCTGGCAATGGCCCACCCATTAGGGGAGTCATCAAAGAGCAGCATAGTCCATGTCAGAGACAAGGGCTTCCAGAATTTTAAATAGGCGAGCTTTATTGTTGAAATTATGTCCCAAAAATACTGAAACAGACGTTTAGTCATTGTAGCTATTTTTTTAAAAATTGTATTTGCTTTATTTGTTTATTTTGCTATATTTGTTTATGTGGACAAACTTACAGAGATTTTGTGACCATGTAGGTTACAAGAGGCTCATATTTTTCAAATAAGTCAGAAACAACATATATATGTAATCAACATATAATTGTCTAATCAATCTGATTTATATTCCATCAACTCAGACTAGTCTTTAACACTGTGTTACATCTTGGTAAATGACTCGAGGGATGCCAGACATGCTCTGGACTTTAATTTCCAGTGTTTTAACTAAGTTCTTCAGTTGTACTCACATCCCTCTTTACACTTTTAAAAATGATCTTTGAAAAATTTGCTCATGGTGTTATTACCTTCACCATTTGTACATCTGAAACCACAGGTTGGAAAGCATTGATTTTGTGAATATATTCTCTTCTAGTCATATTTCCTTAAATATTTTTGGTATACATGATTATATTTAATTTACTAGTTTTCTTTCATTTTAATTTCTCTCTGCCCCAAGCAGTAAAGAATGTGTCATTGGTGGTTTTCTCGTGCTTCATATTTATGCTAATTATTTTGTCTCTGAATACTTATTTCTCTTTTTTGTGAGAGCTTCTGAGCAATGCGTGTCTTTATATGTATTAAATCTGAGGAGCAAGGCAAGACATAGCTCCTCGAAACCTTCAGTCATCGTATAGTTAGAAAGTTAGCCTCTTTTTGCCCCAGTAAATCTCTTCATAGTAAAGAGAGACACATTAGAATATACCTTTGTCACTGTGTGTCAGCTGTAACAACTTGTTTTATTCTTTTCTTTAATATGTTATAATGCTTTAAAGCCATTTAAAAGTAACTCCAGGAGAAAGCTTAGAATGTTTTAAAATACACATAAAAAGAAAAAGTTGGTCTAACATCACTTTTGAAATTATAAAATTTGCTTAATTATTTTTTTAGAAGAGTTGATTAGCCGTTATTTTCCAAATAGAAGAGATTAAATAGATTTAACATGGATAATAGTATTAATCAATAGAATCAGTCAATTAAATATTTTTAATATGGTTTTAGAATATTGCCATGTGATATAATGGAGTGCTCCCCTTTCTTTTTTTTTCAGGAACTCTTGGTGTAATAACAGAAGCTACAATAAAAATCAGACCAACCCCGGAATACCAAAAGTATGGCTCGGTAGCTTTTCCTAATTTTGAACAAGGAGTAGCCTGTTTAAGAGAAATTGCAAAGCAGGTAAAAATGAAGTAAAGGTATATGCAATTATACTTTCAAAATTCTGCTGTAATTGTGATGCTTTAAATACTCTTTATATTCAGGTGTGTTATATTTGTCTTTCTTTTTTTTTTTTTTTTAACATGTTTTACATAGAAAGTTACCCCCTAAGTACACTTACTTCATTCAGTAGTTATGTTTCTGTCACACCTGTCTCTTGTTTGAGGAGGCCTATGTGGTTTGGGGCCAAGGTAAGATACATAGTGCTTAGATTTTGGCTTTAAATGATTCTGCTTTGTGTTGAGTACTATATTTTGTAAGTTACTTTGGAATAATAATGTTGTGATGCAGTGAAATGATATTTAACTTCCCTTAAGAGAACATCTTTTGAAATTAGGAGTAGCCCGGTGTGGTAGTGTACATCTTTGATGCAGGACCTGGGAGGCAGAGGCTCAGGGCCTGGTCTACACAGTGAGTTCCAGGACAGCCTGGGCTGTGTAGATAGACCCTGTCTCAACAAGCAAACAAAGATGACCCCCTCAAAAAAAAAAAAAAAAAAAAAAGAAAAAGAAAAAGAAAAAAAGGAGAAATGAGAGGTGATGACTGAGCTTCAGTAACCCCCAAATTAGAAGCTTAAGATACAGATAAATGTTTAACGCATGGATGTGCTGCTATAGGTGATACTTGGTTCTATAACATATTTTATCTCTTGTTTAAATAATATAGTTAATGTAGGGTACTTCTTTGTAATCTTTTTTTTAACTTTGTAAAGCTGATTTTATTTTATTTTTTTAAATTTATTTTAAATTTATTACAATTTATTTACTTTATATCCCAGCTGTAGCCCCCTACCTCATCTCCTCCCAATCCCACCATTCCTCCCTTTTCTCCCATGCTCTTCTCCGAGTCCATTGATTTCTCTGTAATAAAAAAAAAAAAAAAAAAAAATAGATTTTCTTCCTTCTGCCTTCATTTTAAAGAGATTTAATGTCATTTTTCTGTTTTCCTTTTTTTTGTTTTAAAGACTAGATTATGCCAAATATTTTTTTAGTTTTAGTGTGGAGATATTTTATTCATTGTTTAAACTGCAGTAGTTTATCCGTCATTCTTCTTTTCAACCTTTCTCAGAAGGATAAAGCAATGCACTTCACCCATTTCTTCTCGCTTTCCTGAGCATATCGATTTCTTTAATGCTCCCTATCAGGTATATGCAAGTAGAATCATCCTTTTTTTCTTCTATCTGTTCTTTTTAATACAGTCTCACTATGTAGCTTTGCCAAGCCTGGAACTTGCTGTGTAGATCAGGATAGCCTCAAACTTACAGAGCTCTACCTGCCTTGGCCTTCTGAGTGCTGGGATTAAAACACTAGCCCTTTTTGATATCATCTGTATAGTCAGCTTCCTAGTTAGTATTCAGAGTTAGCTAGAGGGAGATTCTGGTATAAACAAGGAGAAATTTTTAGCTAATTACCCATGTTCAGGTTGGACTATAAGATAGTGAAATGAACAGTAGCTGTCTGACCTTCCTACCATTTCAAGACAACCACTGTGTTTTATTTTGTTTTGTGCTACTGGGGTTTGGGGTTGATTATACCAAGGGCCGTGTGCATGATAGGTAAATGCTCTCTACTATTGAGTCATAGCCCTAGTCCTTATATATTTATTTAGTTTTATTTTATTTTATTTTTGATGGGCTGTCACTGAATTGCTGAGGAAGTCTTGTATTCACACTGTAGCCCAAGGCAGGCCTTGAGCTCTTCGTCTTCTTGCTTTAAAATTCAGGCTTGGCCTACCTTTTTTGTTTTGTTTTGTTTTGAAGTGTGTGGTACTGGGGATTAAAACCAGTGCTTTGAGTATGTTAGGCAAGCAGTCTATCGCCAGTCTGTATTCCCTGCAACTGCTAATATGCCGTGGACCGGCCCCCTCGGGTGCCCCGCGTCCGCGGGAGAATCAGGGACTTCGGATATCAGGAAGGCACAGATAGGCGAAATGACAGAGACCACACCGCATAATGTTGATTTGGATCTTCTGCGTTTTACTGAAGTCAAGCCAACACTTTTATAGTAATCTTACAAAGAAGCACTTTAAAGTTGACATATCCCCCAGAACATTTACAATGTTTATATTTTAACTGAAAGAGTAACCTGGTAGAAGCAGTGTCTACAAAACAATCTTGGCCTAACAGCCTCTTAAGCAGAGCAAACATAGAACTAGTGACTTGTTTGCCAGTTTAGTGAGTAGAGGGCCAGGGGCTTGTAAAACTTGTGGTCTGTTTACGTAGTTTATTGTTAGTTAATTAGGGGTTGTTAATAATCAGAGATAAGATACTTGAACTAGCCTGTCCGTAAAACTTATAGTATAATACAAAACTTTTTGACCTCCTATGTTTGCCTGTCTTTTTTTTTTTTGCCTCATCATAAATACCTGTGTTAGGTAATGGTTTTGCAGTAGCTTTACTGCAGTGGGAATATCCAGAGCATTTATCCTAACAGATCCTGATTAAACATTTTCTTTAGAAAGCCCTAAAACTCTTGTCCTTTTACTACCTACAGTGTTTGGTTTTTCCACAAGCAATTCCTGATGCTGAATCTGATTTATTACCTCTCCTAAAATTTTATTTTTCTTCTACTCTTATTTGCTAAAGCTTTTAGTAATCTATTAGAAATGTTTCCTTGAATAGTTAATTGTACTGTTTCAAGAATCATAGAGAAACAGCAAAAAAAGAGCTCATCAATTCCAGTCTTGTAACCAAATAAGCGTGGGACTTAAAATACATCTTTTGGCTTAGATGGCCATGTTAGGGTTCTTGCTAGGGACTTCCAGGAAGCTGATTTCCGTAGGAAACGTGTCTTCTCGTCTGTTTGCATAATTTTATGCTTGCATAACACATGTTTATGCTATACAGACTTTCTGGAGTTAGTGTAGCACTAATATTTTAAAGAACTTAAAATGTGGAAAATATTAGACACATACCCATCAACACACCATTTCTAGTACTCTTTATTTCACTTAGTTTTGCATTCTGAGATAGTCATTCTGACTGGTGGTTTCCATTTGCAAGAAGTGTGATCACCAAATTTAGCAATGGGCAAGTATAACTTTTATAATTGGTAGCAGTTGGATTGCTAGACTTAGTACAGGCTTCGTGGTTGACCACAAGAAGATGGTGCTGGCATGGACATGTTTGGTTGCCTGACAGGTTACTTTGGTGCTAACACAGAGGGGAATGCTAACAGTTGATATTCTCATACAGAACTTGAAATTCACCCAAACCTTGCTTCAGGTCATGGTTAGAGAAATGGAGTAGAGTGTATTATGTTGTACTTATTAAAATGAAGACACAACAGTCATATTTAAAGAGAATTATCATAGAACTTTCTAGGAGTAAATACGTGATTTACTAAAATGGCAACTGCGAATGGAGGAGTGAAGTTCATGTGTTCTGAGGATGTTCTTAGTCTTCTGCCAGTTAAAGATCAAGGGTCACAGCTGTAAGGGAGATGCACCAAGGAGGCTCTTCACTGAGCCACATGGCTTTGCTTTTGAGTTAGTTAACTAGAAGATTGGGGAGAGCCAGCCTTTTGTCAAAGTCCAGAGGATTTACAACTTAATTACTTATATTAGTGGAAAAACTTTTGTTTCTTTTACTCAGGGATGAGCAGCAGACCACCTTCATGGGCTCAGAGGCTATTTATGAATCAGAGAGAGAGAGTCATGCATCCCCACACATTCCATTGTTAACAGCTCATACATACATATAGGCAAACAATCAGACATGCAGTCATGTACACATACATACATACATACATACATACATACATTCATTCAGGTGGGTCTCCATCATACATGCATATCATGCATATACATAAACATATATTTACACACTTGTACATATATACGTATTTATACAGACAATCAGACAGTCATACATATAAACATATACAAAGACAATCAGCCAGCTACCCACATATTGGACTGAGGAAAACTAATCAACCAACAACTTAATTTCTGTCCTGTTTTTTTTTTTTAAAGATCTCTTTCTCCATCCATCCATCCATCCATCCATCCATCCATCCATCCATCCATCCATCCAAGCGCTCTCTCTATTTGCATGTATGCTTGAATGACAGAAGAGAACAGGTGGTTATGAGCCACTATGTAGTTGCTGGGAACTAATTCAGGACCTTTGGACAAACGGCCAGTGCTCTTAACCTCTGAGCCATCTTTCCAGCCCCAAAAGATAGGTTTTTGTTTTTTTTTTTTTATATCAAGGTTTTTGTAGAAACCACCTGCCTATCTTGTCTTGTATAGATAGCCATTTATTCTTTGTTTCTATATTCATATGGTCTTTCTTCTTGTAATGTACACCTGGGCTTTTCCTTGGGTTAAACCTAGAATGAATGTATTTCCTTGATTATTAATTTGTTTCAATCTTCTTTTCCGTCTTGGCAATTTACGTAGAGATTCATATAGCTCCGAACAGTTTTTGCTATACTGCAGAAGGGTTTTAAAATTACTTGAATTAATTCAGGAAGCATTATCAGGAACTGTAAAGTCATCTGTAGGACATGCGCAACAGAGAGAGTGGCACCCATGGAGGAGTCATACTGTGCTATAGGCAGTTAGGGTCTGTTCATGCTCAACTGCATTAGACAAGCATAGGAAGGCAATGTAGTCCCAGTAAGCTGTTGTAAGGCAGAGTCCCTTGGGGCTTTGCCCAGACCGAGCATACACCCATTCGTCAGCTGTGTAAAAATGAGTGGACTGCCTCTAGGAAGCTCACCTGCTTGCTTTTACTAATCCAGTATGCAGGTGATCCCCACAGCCTTTACTTTTTTTTTTTTTTTTGAGATTTTTACTTTTTTAATTTAAAGAAAGTAATTGGAAATTCACTAAAATTTATTAAAAAGATAAAATGAAGCTGGTGGTGGTGCAAGCCTTTAATCCCAGCACTGGGGAGGCAGAGGCAATTAAAATAAAACCTGGGTTACATTCTGTTGTTGGCCCTGTCTTCTCTAGGT